TCCCGTGCTTCCTCACTGTCGTTTCGTGTGTGGCTACTCCGCGCTCCCTGTCCGTCTTTGCATGCGTGGCTACTACGTGGGGGGAAGTGTGATTAGGTTTGCTGGGCGTCCGCCGTTAGATTCCCTTTTCGTTTTCGATTTCTTCGTGAAACCTCGTCAGCATTTTCAACCGCCGTTTCCATCCGCTCGATCGGTTGATTGATTGACTGATTGATTGATTGATTGATTGATATATGTGGTAGTCCTTGAGGATGGTGACCTCTTCTCGACCTGTCGTTACCTACTGGTGTGCTGGCTCGTTCTGCATTTCTAGAGAGGCGGACGGTTCGGTGCACAGGGGCCTCGTTGCCAGGCCGTGGTATGTGAGGTCTCGAAGTGTGTGTGATGTTCCTGCAGTTCATAGAGAATACTGGGCTCCGAAGTAGAGCAGCCATCTCATGTCATTATAGCCTCGTGGATGGCTGGGTGGTGAACTCTTGGGTACAACGGGGCAGACATGGCGCGTACACGAATGAGTGATCGACTGAAATCGCGCCTCTGACTGTGTGTATATCCGTTGACTGCAGGGTGTGCAGAAAGATTAAGCATAGAGAGTGGTGGCCCAGGGGCACATGAGACCAGAAGTAGAGAAAGATGGCGGTGAACCCAGTGCGAGACGCGGAGAGCAAGTGGAAGAGAGAGAGAGAGAGAGAGAGAGAGAGAGAGAGAGAGAGAGAGAGAGAGAGAGAGAGTTGAATAAGTTTATTACATTTATTAATTCGCTTAGGGTCATCAGGATGGAGACCGAGTGTGATTGGGTTCTATCCATGACGGCATGCGCGCTTAATAAGCAATCCGATGTTGTGGCGCTGAGTGGAGCACAAGGATGTGCCTACTGTGAGGGAGGCACGTCTGTGGAATAGTAGTGTGAACGGCCGACCGGTGCTTTCTTGAGTAACGACCTTGGATGTGGCAATGGGTTTATTATATTATGTATGATGCTTCGATGGAAGAAATTGCGGGCGTTGTCTAAAGTGCACAGTGCAGTACGACGCTGTATGTCTGTAGAGGGCCTGAGCCTCCTTGTTTTTCCTCCTTTATTGACAAAACATATTATATAATGATGGTACTTCTATGGAAGAGAATGCCGGCGTTTGTCTGATGACCCTCGAGGTTCTTGTGGCAGCCTTAACGACAACAGGACATGGTACAGGTTCGTCTGGGAAAGAGTTGTTGCTTGCGAGAACCGTGGTTATTTCTCCAATGTCAAGCGGATAGGAATTCTTGCCTCGGCATGTTGAAGTTCAGGTAGTGGTAGTCGTTTTGCGGGTGATATTGTGTGAGCTGGCACTCAGGTGGTGGTTGTGTTCCCCCCGGAGTTTATATAGGAGAGGCAGGAGTGCTTTAATACGGTGTGGGTAATGGAGACCCTTCTTTTCGAGTTGGGTTTTGATTCACGGAGCATGTATTCAGTGAGTGTGGACTCGAATGACATCAGCGCGTCCGAAATAGGAAAGAGTTGAGCGAAGGAGGGAGCGAGCGGAGGGTATTATTTCGATACGAAGCTGGTTATTGGTCACTGGATCGTGGGCATGGCCTGTGCTTTCAATTACAGTCGGTCAGTGTCCGGAATAGGAATAAGCGGAGCGAATGAGGGAGGAGGCGCCGTCGGTCAGATGTGAAGCTGCTGCTGTGTTACTCGATCACTTGCCATGGACCTCTCCTTGCATTGACTTACTGTATTTCAGTGATGTCTTGTCCAATATGTAAGATAGTGCGGCGTTGGTATTCGCTTGGGGACTGGAAAAGGGAGAGAAAGACGACCCTGGAGGGAGGGAGGGCCCTATTTAGGATGCTGTCGCTGCATCCCCCCGCAGAGATTCGGGACTTGCTTCGAGATTCGAGGAGTGTGTAGTAGGCTCGCGGAGGGATGCATGTGCCGCCTGCGGCGCACAGGGAACGACGGTGTGTTGTTTGGCAAGAGCGCAAGCGCAAGAGGAAGTAACACTGCATGTTCGACGAAGTAGTAATGCATTTTCGGCGATTTAAAGGTGACCCTTCACAAGCGGCTAGCGGTGATCAGAGAGAGCGTAACTCTGGTCCATCCGTCCGGATGACGTCCTCCGTTGTAGGGTAAAGACCGAGGAGAAGGCCGAGTGCTGTGCAGTGCTTGTTACGGGAAGCGGGAACATGAGAGGGCGGAGAGAACGTCTGTTGGGAGGCGGCTAGGTTGAGGCCAATTCAACTGGAAAAAATCGTGGGCTTGTTGCCCGCTCGGTAGTGATAAGCGAGACCTGTATCGAGTCTGAAGAACGCAATAGAGTGCTCAAGAAGATGAACTCATGACAAGCATTCCGCTGCGCGTTCGACTTCGCTGATTGGTTCACTGATGATGGGGTTGTGGCGAGTATTCAAGTGACTGAGTCGATTGATGATTGTATCGGATTAGGTTAACTTAAAACTCGGTTCTAGTGTGGTCGTTCCGCTGGCATTGAGGCGTGAAGAGGCTTGCGTTTTCTATATAATAATAATAAGGGATCACTCCTTGAGATTTCGGCGTACTCCTCTTTTGGGTAGTGATGTTCATTGTTTTTTTTTCTATCGTGGCGGCTCTGCTGGCAACGACTGCAAGGTCTCCGACCTGTGTCCTTTCACGACACGTGGCATCCGGTCTGGGTGGACTCACCCGTAAATGCCGTCGTCTGTTCTTGAATTCCCGCAAAAACGCCTAAAGTTTCCCTGCCTGCATTCTTTCCCGCCCGCGTGGCTTCCAGCCGCCTGGGTGGGTGGACTCGATTCACACATCAATGCCGATGTCTTGCATTCCCGCGAACCTGCCCTCGATTCTTGTCCAGATTCACTCGATTTCTGCTAGAAGAAAGCCAGCAAGCCGTTGTAGCATGCACCGCATTCTGTATTCTGCTTTTCGCCCCCCGCCGCAATGCCTTCGCCTACCCACGCTCCCAGCTGGCCGTTGAGGTAGGTGGCTTGGGCAATTCATTGGATGAAGAGACTGTATGCACGCGTGTGTGTGTGTGTGCGTGCGCGTACGGCGGGCGGGCCCGCGGAGCAAAGCATTGGATTGAAAGCGGGGGTCCTTGGGGCTGTGGTGTCTGAGGAAGAGGTTGTCGCAAGAGCCAGTCTGAGAGTGTCATTGTAAAAGGCCAGCCAGCGAGCGAGCGAGCAACTGAGCTTTACCCCTCCTTGCCCCCTGTGTAGTAATATCGCCTCGTATTTGAAGGGATGTAACGAAGAAGCGGCGGTACTTAGTCGAAAATGGGAGGTAGGGAAAAGAAGTAGGGAGGTAGGGAGGGAGGGAGGAATGGAAGGATAAAGACGTGCAGGACAAGAGTTGTGGCATATATCCTTGTCTCTCAAAAGAGTTAAGTTGACCTAAATATGCGTGTATGGTGAAATGTTGGTCTTTTCCGGTCTGCCCTGTAGTAATCTCCACGGAGGACTGCCGAGTCGGGTAAATTCGAATCTTAATCGGCGCGCTTTTGCTAATGATCGTTTTTTACATTGTTTTTTTTGTTTAAGCTGTTCTTTTTATGGAGCATTTTGGTGCCCTAGCGTTATTTGATTCCGTTGGAGTATATAATTTTTTTTTTTTGCTTTGTTTTCGTAATTTTTGTTCCGTCTGGCTGCGCACTCTCCTTCTTTCTTATGAGGCGAATAAAGAAATATGGTCATTCATTCCCCAAGTATGTGCTCGATATTAATAAAGCCCTAGCAAGATATTTCGCCGCGAGCGGTGAGCAGCGGTGATTTTCGGACGGAGCAGACACTTCTCGTCGTTGATGATAATCGGAGGATGTAGTGCTTGCTGAAATTTGTCCAGATAAACACACACACACACACACACACACGCACACACACACACACACACACACACACACACACACACAGAGAGAGAGAGAGAGAGAGAGAGAGAGAGAGA